CTTTCATTCACAATACAATCGCCTGATAATAACACTGCGTCGCACGGATATATATGCAAATCTGGATCGGATATCTCAAATACATCTCCAGGTACTAAATCTTCCGATGATATTTGTCTCGCTTGATTATTATAAAAAGAATTTCATAATCTACTTAATAATATTTCTCCATCACTTAAAACTACACGTATAAATTTCTTACGTAATCCACCGCGGAAGACGCGAACATTGCAAATAAACTTTGACATTTCCCGAAGCCTCCTCATTGTCTGTATTTAGAAGAAAGCAATCACACTTTAGCAAAACTGTTACTTTATATAACAGTAAATTATACCACTGACCCGTTTTGTTTCTATCAATGTAGTTATGATACTTGTGACAGATATAATAAATATGCAGCTCGCGTAATAATAATATTCATCTAAAAACCAAAGGATCATCGAAAAAACTTGAAAAATGTAAAAAGGATGCAAAATCTTGAAATAGATAAATTAATAAAGTTAATATTGATTGATAATTCATTTAAAAATGCTAAGAAAATTAAATATATATATATACCTCTTCAAATAACAGCTTAAATGTGCTCTTTCCTTCGATGTCGATTAAATTTTTTCCAAAGATCATCTCGCGTTCATTATATATTTCTCGAGTGATCCCTTTTTTGAGTGATTTCACCGATGTCCATGTTGGATCTTTCCAGTAGCTACAGTTAATTAACCAAATATTAGTTCCAAATGGCTTAATGTAATGACACGAATTGAGGAAAATGCAAACCTGTTTTGTAAAAACTTTCCCAGTAAAGGATTATAAATAAATCGGATATAACGATAGTCAAAATATTGCAATTGACTTAAAATTTCGTCTGGAGACAATGAAGTGAGTCTAGCTGCATCATCTTCATCAAGCTGACTAAATGAGAAGACAGAAAGAACAGTTCCACCGTAATATTTGCGTAATACATTCTCTATTGACAATTCGCCCCATTGATTCTATAGAGAGAAATATAGTATTTATTAAATCGCGCGGGAATATATACACCGCGAATAAAATAAATCACAAAAAACTATCAAACCTCTACGACAACCCATTCCGCTTTCTCCATATCGCAAGCAATACCGACAAACCAAATCCACAGCTTAGGCATCCATCGAGATAATAAATGTACGACACCACCAGTCAAGACACACAATATATAAAAAGTATAGAGACCATAACGATTAAATCTATAACCCGTTAAAAAAAGCTAAAAAAGAAAAAAGGCATAAGATTACGGGGAGAAACCAAAATATTTTGTCCAGGATGTGCATTAAAAGATAACTAACATTAAGATCCTCTTCTTCCAGATAAATATTCTGTACCGATACAGCAGCTGGATTGTTATCTACCAAAGAAATAATATCATTAATAGAAAATCAACCTTTTGAACGCATTGATACTTGATTCTCACCGAAGATATCAACAACTGTACGTTTATTGACTTTCCTAGATAATGTATTGGCTTTTTTCATCATACTTTTGTCATATCTATCCTCGGTTTCGTCGTTATTCTCTTCTTCCTCAGAATTTGGGTTCCGATCGACACCCAATTCAGTATCATTATCTAGAGATGTATTCATGATCTCCCGATATACTAATGTGCCTAAGATCAAGGGTAAAAAGTTAGTGGTCCATAAAACAGCGTGAGAATGGCTTCAAATCCGAAATTTAGAATAATTACCAAGGTTACGACTTGTCATCGAAGTTTGGGCGGCATGTGAGGCGAAAATTACTATAGATAATTTTTTTCTAGATATATACTGGTTTTGTTAAGACAGCTCACATAAATAAGTCAAAAGCAAATACTTATACAGTACAATAAATATTTGTTATTTTTGACAGAATTTTGAAGACCGATCAATTTTATTAATATAATAAATACAATTGAAAACATTTGATTATACGGTATGTTTATTTTTCACTAGGGGTACGCGTCATTAGATGCCACGATAACACCGATAAGATTTTATACTGTATATATACTATACATTTAAATATTATCAGCAATACTGATCCAAGCCAAATTTGATCATTATTCTTTTTTCTTTTCTTCATTCGAATTCAATTGATATATTTATGATTTTTTTTTTTTTCCCTCAATTGATATATTTATGATATTTATAATAATATATGTTTTTTTATATAAATAAATAATTTTTTGACATTGTTATCTTGAAACATTATATAAAATTCTTAAAGTCAAATATTTTTCTAAGTAATAAACACTTGTCAATAAATCTTAAATTATTAATATCAAGATTATCATATTGCTTTCATGGTTTAGCTATTTATTAACTATTTTATTATAAAAGTATAAAGTTATTAAGTTATTAATATATAATTATTATAAAAAATAAAAAAGTTATTTCTTTTTAAAAAAAAGTAATACAAGAAAACATTTTACATTCTAATTTAAAAAATCATTACTAATTTATATTTTAAATTATTGTTTTAATATAAACTTATAATTCTAAAAATATAAAAAATTTATATTAATAAATAATATTTTTTTAAATCAATTTTTTTTTAAAATTGGCTAAGGGCATTAGATACATGACATTTATTAAACATTTGTTTTGTAGTCAGTACATCAAGTATCTTTACAAAGTAGGCTATTGCTATCCTAAATGCAAATTAATACTATCTAATAATTACTGTTTCCAATAACTCTGGTTTCCCCTAGACCAATTGCGACATACCCAACTATACGAATTTTTAAACATCAAGTAGATGATCCACACGCCAGGTGGGACTTACATAGGGGGTGGAAATCCTACCACTAGTTTAAACCACCTTCCTACTAGGTCCAGTCTTGACTGCATCCATTGTGAGTGGAACACATTGTGGAATATTATTATAGAAATTGATTTCAGTATTCCATTCGCTGTTATCACTAATTCTCGAGATGTACCACTAGCATAATGCAGTACTACCGTTTCACCACCTGTGGAACTGACGTCCTTGCTTGGATTCGGATTTAATCTTGTAGATCCTCACTAGACTCACTTGGCTTAACGATTTTTGTCTAGTCTTCTCATCACCTATGGCTAATACCTTGTCCTTCGGCCATATGATTAAGTTCTGTAAAACACCACCATTGGAATATATCTACAAGCTCCAGATTGGGATAGATCAGCTTAGAATTAACCTCTTTATATTGTGTGACAGAATCTGCCGTCGCCAGTTTGGGTTAGAGTTTTGTGAACTTATTATCGGAGTTAGACTAGAAACCTTTCCTCATACAACCTTCCTTGCTTCGAACTGTTTTCAGCTCGCGATCATCAGAAAGACCAGAGGTCCCATCTTCATGCAGCCTAACTAAATTTGGAAGTAGATTTGTCAGCTGATTAGATATGACATGAATTGGAAGCCGGTCAATCAATTATGAAGGTGATAAATTTTTTGTAACCAGATGAGATTGAACCCTAGACCTTCTCCTGGTAACCTATGAAGCACTACTACTATGCTATGGACCCATAGGTCATTTTTTTAAAGTTTGTAAATTAGTTTTGATTAATAAAATATTTGACAAAATTAAAAGTTTTTTTTTTATATAATTTTTTTTTTTATAATTAAATATTTTTGGTTCTTAATTAATAAAAAATCAAAAGTACTATTTTTATATTATCTAATTAAATTTGACTAGAATTTAATTAATTGAATATTATACATATAAAATAATTAATCAATCTATATACAAAAAGAAATTATTAAATTTGATTCTTATACTAATAAACTAAAAATATATAATTGATAATTTAGAAGTATTATTTACTAAACTCTTCCTATCAATCAAATTTTTTGCTCAAAAATTTCCTTATTTGATAACAAGCTCTCTCAAGAAACTCTACAACTCAAAGCACTTCCAAGTGCTCTCACCCACTAACTAACTCCTACCATGAAGCACTCTATAACAAACAGTAACAAAAAACAGTTCCTACATGCCACTATTCACCAGGACTGGAATCAACTTTTTCAAATTTACTACCTTGACCTCAGCAACAATAAAATTATCTGAACAGAATTTGCAAGATCCCTCTTTATTACCAACCTAACAAACTTCCCTAACCAATTTCTCATTGTCAAAGAAGAAAAAAACATTGAGGAAATTGTCAAAACAGAAGTCACTGATGACATCTGTATTCTAATTTTTACAATGAAATATATAAAAACAGAAACAGAAAAGACCAAGGAAAACTACCCCAAACCCGCATCCAACTCTCCAATCAAAGAAACATTTCTCTTAACTTTTAATTCATCAGTAACATAGTCGAAAAAATGGAAAAAACCCAACTCAATACTGAACTTTACAACTGTCTCTAAGAATTTCTCACTCTTTCCCAAGAAACTTCAAAAAACTCCAATCAGTTTACCCTAAAAATGATCAACCATCCATTACCTCTCTTGTTTCCCAAAAAGAGAGTAACAATCAATTAAACAACAAAACCTCATGCATCCCAATTGTCTATCACGTCAATCCTGCCCCAATCTAGTAACTCCTTTATTAATAAAACTACAACTGATACACCAATGAAATTATCTGATTTGGATTCTACCCCTAAACAAATAATAAAACAACTGTTACTTAAACTTTTCCTTTTGACAATTCTATGACCATATCTAACCTCAATATAGAAATAAGCAAAATTAACCTATGAACCAATCAAATTTCATGATGATCAATGACATTGTTGACCTGGACGAACTGTTCAAAACCCCTTCTTAAACCAAAACCTCTTCATATACTTGGTCCTCCTCTTTTAAGCAACAAGTTCATGAAGAACTCCAAGAAATCAGAGACAACAAACAATATGAAACCCTTCGACTTGACACTGAAAAATTAGTTAACAATCTTCTTCCAGCTCCAAACAATATTCAAATCATCATTCAAACTCTTGACACTATTCTCAAACTTTCCAACTATCCACCTTATCACTTTAAAGCAATTATGAACAAAATTAGCTTCAAAGATTGTACTTTCTTCAGTTCTTTTACCCAAAATAGAAACCTCATGCCAGCCTATCAAAAAGAGTTCAACAAAATTGAACAAGATTTTCAAAACAAATACAAAAGTGAAAACAAACTCCATTTTATTAACTTTCAAACTAAAAAAAAAATTGATCTATTATTTGTATAATTTTATCAATTATCTATCTACATATCTATGGTTCCAAAAATTAGAATCGAATAGAATTGAACAGAATCGCATGAGGTTCAGAACACTATTAAAAATGATGGTGGGGTATATCCCACCTATTAAATTTAATATAAACTTGAGAATCGAATACAGAATCGAAGAGAATCATTAGGATCCTTATATGTACCATCAACATTAAAAATATTTCTTACTATGAACTAGCAAGCCTCCTAACTTACTTAATCAACTATTTTATCAAAAAACCTTTCTTTATTCTTGAGTATACGTCTATTAGGGATGAACTCAAAAAATTCTTAAATGACTCCCTTCCTAATTTACCTATTGAACCAACAGATATTCCTCCACAAATTATAGTTAAACTTCCCACTAAACTTCCAATGTCAGATAAAATCCATATTATCACTACTCTCTGCATTCTTGGCTCACATTACAAATTCGACAAACTACCTGACACATACTTCAAGGAAAATCCATCTCTTCTCGAGGATCCTAATAATCTTTTAATCAAATATAAAAATATCTTCTCCATCAAAAAGAGAAATGAACTCACCAACCTTGCAGACTATAAAAATTACCTTCGCGAAGAATACAAAGTTCCTTCCAAATTACCAAACTCATATTTCAACCTTACATCTCCTAAAAAACCTCTTCTAACAACTTACCAGTTATTAGACCCCAAATATAAACATTTCTTTTTTTACAATCCTAGGGATAGTACAATTACTTTACAAGAAATCATTACACTACTCAGAAAAACCTACTTTTTCAAATTCCTTCCTAATAATTATTTTTTTATTAGAATCAAACTTCCTTTCTCTTCAGAAAAAGCCAACATCAAAACCAATATCCTTCTACCAGTAACAAATCCAAATAACATCCCTCTTCTTTTCAAAACACTTGCAAAAAAATATATCTTTACTAGCCCTCTCTCCAAGGAATAGATCAATCTTCTCCCAATCCAAACTTAACCAAACACTTCAAATAACAACGAATTAGCTCCAACAAACAAACCACCTCTTTCAAACAACTATTAGGAAGTTAATGAAAAAGCAGGAACCAACTTCCCAATTACTAAAAAGATTGAAGTTCGTCCAAATGTTATCAAAGCTTATCAATTCTATCAATTCTCAAAAATTCCTGACAATTGGATCCAAATTCCTATAAAGTTTTCTCTTTCTAATTCTTCGAATTAAAAAAATTCCTTCAAAAAAAACATATACAAATCGAATTCCCAATTATCAATGATGTCAACTTTACTTCTAAAATCCACAAACTTAGAGAACATTTTAGTTTTCAAAGATTACCAAACAAATATATCACACAAATAGAACTTCCCAAATCCTCAACCAAATTCTTTAAATTCTTTTAATGAATAATACAAACTTAAATATAAATTAATCCCAAAATATTATTGAATATTCACTTTTAAACCAATCCATCTCCTCTTCACTTCCATCAACAAACTCTTTATATTCTTCTAACTCTTTAACTTATACACTTCCCTCCTCCAACCTGCTCAACAATTTCTTTATCAAAAAAAAT